CCAAACCCCTTTTATATAAAGAAACAATTTAACACCAATTAACCACTTAATAAAGGTAAATCTAATGAACATGTTAGATCTCATCTATCGCTATGACCAGTGGGGCATGAGGCAGAATCATGCAGGCCGTAGAAACAAGAATAGACTTGATGACCCTAACTCATTACTAATATCAGTGGGGCATGAGGCAGAATCATGCAGGCTGTAATATAATAATAAGATCATGGGGCTAACACATCTTTCAACCTATCTTTACTTCAGCGGTCTCATGATGCGAACTATTCGTGAAAGCACTCGATATTGGCTAAAACAACCGATTCAGGCATAGCGCATAGTTAGGGTCATGCCTTACTAGGAATAGATCTACTAAATAACGATCCCCGCTCCACGGTGCTAACAGTGGGGTGTGAGGCAAAATCACACAAGACGTGATAATGGGCCATGAAACGGTTTTCGCTAGCCAATAGATCTACTCGAGACACAACATGCCTTAACCGCACGCTATGCACGATTAAGATTGACGTAAAATAGCCGATAAAACATAACTCATCATTTAAGGTGTAGATTAGATCAGTTTTAGATTAGCAAACGATGGGTTAAATAAGATATAAGGCCGATCCAAATCAATCTCAATCGAGCAGAGTGATATTGCTGTAATTAGATAAACAATGAAAGCAATAAGCAATATCGGTAACTTAATGAATCTACCAAAGACTACCATTCTAAAGTTAGAGCCGATAACTTGACCTTAATCTAGTTCATGCAATGGGGGTCGACCGGATCAATGCAGCCATACGCGAACTAGACAAGAATCGATAACTAACTTACACTAGAGTCATAGTGGAGGTCGACCGGATCGATGCATCCCAATGAACAGAGGTATAAGCCATGACGGTACTTGCAGACAAGCAGTGGAGGTCGACCGGATTGATGCAACCATACTCGCTGAAGAACTCACCAAGATCTACTCTACTCCTACTCCTAAGGGGTGGCCGGTGCCAAAAAAGTAATTGACTTGTATTAGATTGATTGATTGTCCTCTTTACAGTAGCCGGGGTTTGATATTTATACCTAGAGTCTAAACCTGAATCCTACTCGAGCATGATTTGTTGCAATCTTTGGCATAAACAAAAACATTCCTAATTTAAGATAACTTGGACTCTAATCTTTCCCTTTTTGTAGATTCCAGCATGTCTCGTCCCATCACCAATCGTAGCCTTTGTCGTTGTCTGTTGGCGCTATCTGGAGAAAGCCAATTCCAGCGCTGCATCCGAATCAACTGGCTCTGATCTACATGCAACTGATTCCTTGATGACATGATCTCAGGAGCTTTCAAGTCCCTGCAACTCTTCTTCCAAATTCTGGTGTAAACAATGTCCCTGCTGACCCTCTTCAGGTCAGAGGCTGACCATGCGAAGACATCTTTGTTTTTGGCTAAGGTTTCTATAAGCTCTCCCTCCTCTTGCTTCGACAGGTTGCCTTCAATCGTGACCTCTCTGTCTGGGACTGTATCCTCCAAAGGGACAATTTTTGTTTCTCCTTGATCCTTGAGAACTATTTTTTCCCTTCGGCATGTCCGGAGTCTCTACTAAATTATTTCTAGCTGCTTCGATGTAGTTGATATTGTGCTAAGATTTATGGATGACTCTTTCTATATTTCTTGCTTCTGTCTGGCTACCATGAACTATAATGATTCTGTGCAAAGCTGGTATTTTCATACACAGATAACCCATGTGGATGGCCACGTTGAATTTGTTTGCAAACCCTCTTCCAAAGATGGCGTTGTAGGGGTAGTAGAGACCTACTACGTCAAAGGTCACATATTTTGTTCTTGCATTTTCTTGACCTCCAAAGGAGACTGGGAGGGATACTTTTCCTAATGTGTTTATCCTCTTTTCCGCCAAACCCAATCAGTGGTGACTCTGAAGGCTACAACTGACTCCTGCTTAGCTTCATCTAGTTGAAGGCATTCACGAAGATGATATCTGCGAAACTTCCAGAATCCATGAGAACCCTTTTGATTCCCCATCCAGCAATGTTGGCCTTGATTACCATGGCGTCAATATGGTGGTAGCTCTCCAACTGCAAATCTTGCTCTAAGATGGTGATTGGGGTCTTCGACCAATCCGTGTGACGCACTAGGCCTTGGACTGCTATGTTGTTGACCAACCTTAAGTGATCCTTCTTTTGCTTCTTAGTCTAGAACTCTATGGAGGACCCTCCGACTATGGGCAGTATCATGCCGATGGTTGGTAGGGGTTTGTGAGGGTGGAGTTGGTTTTTTGGGTTAGGTTTGTTTTTGGGTGTTGGGAGCTATGTTGAAGGCGGCAGAGGTAATGGCTCTAGCTGTCAGTTGTGAGTTCGAGATGGCTATTTGGTCTCGATGAATGTTATGTGCGGAGGACTTGGTTTTCTAAGAGTGAGGTTGGCCTATGCCCGTTGGTTGTTGGGTAGCACCTGCTGCTAAGTAGTTGGTCTCCATGCAGGTAAGAAGTTTGGGTAGTAAGCGACTGCTAGGGTTTATGGATGAATATGGGTGGAGTTCAGGCTCGGGTAAATTGGACAGTATTGCTATTGAGATGCTGTGAAGGTATGGTTCACCTCTCTAGGGGGCTATTGTGGCAAAGGTGGGGAGTTAGCTCTGCTTTTTATCCTTTCTTGAGTTTCTTTGGCATCTGGGCAGTACCTAGTTATGTGCCCTTTGTTTTCTCCATGAACGAAACAGTACTACCTTGGCTGCCTTTGGTTTTGATTTTTGTTCCAATTTCTACCTTGGCTATTTCCCTTGCCTTCGGATTGTCTCTAGGGCCTATTGTTTGGGCCTGCCTTTGCTGGTTGTTGCCCTGCTGGCTATTACCTTGTTCTATATTGGAGACTTGCTGGTTTTGCACTTGCTAGGCTTGTGGCTGAACATGGTTTCTGTTGCCCTTTTGGGTGTTCCTGTTATTGCCGTGGAACTGCTTGCTTTGGTTTTGTTCTTCTAGTCTTCTGTGGAGGTTGTTGTCAGATCTACAATACTTCTCGACTTTGTTGTAAAAATCTTTGATGGTTTGAGGTTTTTTCCCTAGCTAAGTGAGTTGCAAATGGACCTATACAAAGGCCTTTGATTGTTGCTTCAATAGCAATGTCTTCTTATACATTGGGTGCTTTTGCTTTCATTTGCACAAATTTCTTGAAGTAGTCCTTTAGGGCTTGTCCTTGATTTTGCTTGCATTGAAACAGATACATGGAAGTCAAGGATTCACTTGCGAACCCTTTGAAGTTTGCGAAGACCTTGTCGTGGAGGTCTTCCAATGAATAGATAGAGCTTGGTCTTAGCATTGAGTACCAGGCTAGGGCATCACCTTCAGCTGCGATGACGAAGGACTTTGCTAACACCACTTTGTTTCCGCCAGCGGAGGCTACTACTGCCTCAAAGCTCATGATGAATTGTCGTGGATCTGTCCTTCCATTGAATTTTGGCAAGGTGATAGGTTTGTACTAAATTTTGACCCTGTTGCACCGGCCAATTTTTGATGTTATAGGTCTAAAATAGATGCAATAGTTCGGTGTCGCATCAATTTCTCGTTTGATGCCAGCCGATGCAAGTGGTCTTGATGCAATAGCCTTTCGCATCGGTTACTTGTGGTTGATGCGAGAAGCAGCTATTGCATCGTCCGTCCGTTGTCTATTGCATCAAAATTGAGAGATGTAATAGCTTTTTGCATCCAAATCATGTTGATGCAATACATCTATTGCAACGACCAACGTTCGGTGCAATAGACTATATTGCATCGATATTAGGTTCGATACAATAGAACCTATTGCATCACCATTTTGGTTCGATGCAATACGAACTATTGCATCGAGTTTATGTTATTGCATCGAGTTTATGTTTGATGCAATTCGAACTATTGCATCAACACGAGGTTGGATGCAATACAAACTATTACATCAACATGAGGTTGGATGCAAGAGGTTCTATTGCATCACCATTTTGGTTCGCTGCAATACGAACTATTGCATCGACATGAGATTAGGAGGACAACCAATTATTGCATCGGATTCATTGCACAGAAATTCATAAAATTACAAAATTCAATGGCACAAAAAGGCAATCATATTAGTAACTTGGATCATAAGCATTGAATAATTTGTACAATGTGAGGAAGTCAAATGCCTGCCTAATTCCAAATAGGTAATTGCAAAGTTGAATTGCATTACAAACCACTAACTTATGCTACAAATAGGCAATCATAAACAAAAATACATGTCTCTTAGCACAGATCAACATGATATCTTTCCGTTGCACAATATTAGATTCATTTGAGCTTGCCAAGACTCCCTCAAGGTTGATCTTCCTGAAAAAGTCAAAATGACATGCATTAGTAATATATACAGTTGATCACACAGTTGGAATCAAACATAGACAGCATGGTAGATGCTAATCAAGGTTTTACTCATGCTTACATGAGAACAGGGGAGTTGATTAACATTGGACACTTTCTACAGGTTTGAGCATAAAGAGCATAACACTAGAATCCAGTAAGACCATCTAGGGAATAAAATCAGTAACTTGCTAAATCCTAATGATTGCAGTACCATCCAGCCAAACATTAGTTGTTCATTGCAAAGTAGCATCACTAAAATGAAGTCCTCAAAGACTAGTAGCAACATAGGCACAGGGACCAATCCAACCGGGTCATGGCACTACTAGAACTCACCAATCCCACCGGTGTGGAAAGCAACACTCTACAGCAGCTTGACACTGTCAGTTAAAGTTGTTCACTATCTAATCAAAATTGGAATGCTAGCAGGAGCAGCAGCAAGGACATGTTTAACTTTTCTGTGCTCTCGCTGCAAAACTTATCAAGTTTCATGTATTTCTTTACAAAATTTACAGCAGCAGCAGCAAGGACACATGATTCATGTATAAGTGAACAAAGTTCATGTTAATAATCTGGACAACAACTTAAAATGACACCTGATTCATGTATAAGATTTTGAGCTCATACCTTTCCTCATTTATTTCCCAAAACTCGCTTTTTACTTGCAGCATTATTCCTCAGTGTATGTGAAGTAATAAACTTCAAAGACTCATTACTGCCTTTGTCATTTGGGAAAAGTGATCTGTTGGCATTGTTGCGAGTGAGGCGACTAGGTTGGATACTCATCTTATTGCTCACTAATTCACTGTCTTCTACAGTCTGCAAAAACAAGAAGATTTGAAGGAGCAATCACCACTTAGCAATTCTAAGAATCTGTTAAAGTACAGGTGATATTTTTGAAGTATATGACCTTTTGCACTTGTTCTAGTCCTTGGCTAGGAGTGGGAACAACAGCAGGCCCATTAGAAGGTGCATTATGTATGCCCAGCGCAGATTCTGTATCAGCCTTCATTTAAAAAAAAGATGCACACATTACCTCAAGATTAAATGTAGGTATCCTTTTTCATTACATTACAGTTTTCATTTATCAAAAATAGTACCTTTTCTAAATTTGCAACTTCATTTGCACTAACAGCAGCCTTCGTATTTAAAAAAAAAGATTCACACATTATGTCAGATTAAATGTAGGTATCCATTACATTGCAGTTTGCATTCATCAAAAAAATAATACCTGCGCTAAATCTGCACCTTCATTTCCACTAACCATATTTTCAATACCAGTAGCATTGGTTGCGAATTCTGAAGGATGAGTGGCTGTTTCTGCAGGCTGAGGGGCTATTGTGGTTGGTGCAGCATTCTAGCATTGGAGTTATAAGGAGAAACATTAGCAATCAAGCTTTACTAAAAACAATGATGTTGGTAACAATTAAGAAGTAGTATTAGTACCAAAGGCGGTGCTTGATTCTGTTGTTTGATTAGTGCAAAAAACTCTTGCCATAGTTCTTCTCTAATCTTGCTACTTGTACTCTCTAGTTGATGTTGCAGCTGCTGAATTTTTTCCTTGTCACTCTCCCTCTCAGCGGCTTGAACGGTAAGCTGTTCTTTTAACTTGTCTACCTCAGCTTGCATCTCAATATTCTTCTGTTGGGCTGCTGCTGCTAATGCAGATGCACGAGCCTGCTCTTCATTTCGTTCATTCATAAGTTGGCTTCGGGTCGGATACTTTGCCATGTATCCATGTCCAGGACCTTTCCTGCTCCTACATCCAGTGGTTTCCTTGTAGGTTTCATGAAGAATGTGCCTTTCTTGTTCTTTTGAAATCACAGAAGCTTCCAACTCAATTCTCTCTGCAACTTTGGAGAAGGCGCTTTCCTAAATTTAAGAACACAATTAGTGTATTCAACTTTAGCAAGTAGCAACAACAGTTCCAATTCAAGTATAATAAGAATTAGGTAAAATGGATACTTTAGAGATATGTATGACATTGGAGATAAATGAATAAAACATGTTATGAGAAAGCAATGGACAGTTGAACGCTAGCATTTCAGAGATATGTATGACATTGGAGATAAATGAATAAAACATGTTATGAGAACATACATCACTGGACACTCGTTTTACCAAGTACCCCAGCTCTATTCAAATCACTTTAAAGAACATAACTTAACTACATAAAGCATAAGTACGATATTAGGTACATGAGATGAGTCTACATATTAGGTTGTTGGAAATGACAAGGCAAGTAAATGGATGAAGACAACAATAGTAACCACGATAGAAACACGTTGAATTCAAAAAGCTAAACAAAACTACAAGCTGATGACATGACCAGACGCGTAGTTTTACACGACCGGACGCGCTGGTCACAACAATACAAGCTAAAACAGTACAGCAGCAGAAAATAGCCGTTTGAGCTGACCGGATGCGCATGTGCGTCAGGTCACTCATCACCGGACGCATCCGCTCAGCAAAAACCCTCTCTGGCCACTCTCTGTTCGTGACCGAACTCCAAGTCTCGGTGTGTCCGGTCATGCACTCTCTTCAGCGTCCGGTCGAAAAATGGACCACAGCCACTCTGCAACACTGACCGGACGCGGAAACTGTGCGTCCGGTCCAGCGTCCGGTCGCACTTGACACTCAACAATGCTCTACAAAAATTACAGCAGCTAGCATATGCTACCAGGAGACCACAGAAAAAGTTTGGAAGCATTTGGCTCATCGTAACTTGCTATACCAAAAAGAACAGGTGGCACAGCTGAAAACTGAAAATAGCATAAAGATAGAATTGCCAAACCGAACACAAGGACAAGGAGATGATGACCTTTTATCACCCAATCAGGGCATGTACAACCATCAATATAATAATTATGTTATATATAATTGCAACATCACTAAGTACTAATGAACAAAGTAGCACTTACATATATTTCCTTAGCAGCATCAGAAGACCATCGGCCCTCCTTGGTGCGTGTACTCCTCCAAAATGTCAAACCATCTGGCTCTTCACCAGTATCCAGGTTTCTCTAAGATGTGAAAATTGAACATTGTTACTATTTAGGTAAAAAATAAAAGAAGAAGATTAGGTTCCATATCATTACCTGCTCAAAACTAACTTGTGAAAAAGGTTTTGATCCTGTAAGATGTATTGTCTGTCGATGCTGGGAATTGCTAGAGTTTGTGGTGCTCATTCGCTAATATAAACACAAATATGTTAGTTGCACTACAAAATACAGACAATAAACACATATATGTTAGAGGCTTGGAACCTGGAATTTTTCACTTCCAAAATACAACACCAAGTAGTGCCACTCCACAATGTCCAAATCATCTGGCTTATGTTTCATTCTTTCATGATAACTGTTGTATGCCTTGTATGCGGCATTGAATTGAGCTCGCCATCCTTTGTAACGATACTTTGCAATCTTCCATATCCTAGCCTTCTCTTCATCATTGTTTTCAATGTTCCACCTAACCTATAGAAAGGGGATGACCAACAAATTGTGAACAATTAAGATATTACAAAGAATTAATTTATCATATGCGGGAGCAAGACTGTAACGTACCATTATATCTCATGCTATTTTATCTTTAACAATCTGCTTGACATCTCCCCACTTTTTAACTCCAATAAGTGGAGTCCTTTTTCTTGTAAACCGAACTATTTCATCAACAAACGAGCGATAGTTATCTCCTATAGGACCGCCTTTTGTGGATGAGAAATCTATACTAAGTTTCTCAGTGCTAACTTTAAATCTCTTAGCTTCGACCGATAAACCTTTCAAGGTTCCTTGCCCAATCTTTCTCTTGTCGCCAACCCCTATTGTAAAATTGATGCTACAAAATGGAACGTATGTTAACATTATAAATCAGCATTTTTATGTTATAGTAATGTATGAACACTTTGAACCATTGCATACCTTTCTGAGAGGCCTTTGGCCTACGAGCATGAGCTAGAAACTGCATTGGTGCTGCGCTATTGTCACCACTTCCATCTTCTTCAATGGTTTCATCATCTAAATATGCATCTGCACATACAAAAAAGTGAAAGTACACAGTTACAATGGAGTTGGAAATATATGTATATATTAAGGCTTCCACTAATGCCAAGATAAAACAAAATCAGATTACATATATCTTTAAGAAGCCCATCTCTCCTCAACCATTCTTTATATGTTGCAACAGTATTTAGCCGGGTGTCATCCTTAAATTCTACAAGATGCATATATAGATGTTATATATATAGTGTAAGTTTGAGAACTATACCTAAAAATCATTGAGATGTATTTTTCTAGTACATTAGTACCTGGGTTGTTTTCATCCCGTGGCAGCTTATTGAGCCACACCTTGTACGCATCAATGTCTTCATCCTGAATTCCTTGTCCACTAACTTTCTCATGTCTACTATGTTGCTTAATCGGTGTGATTACATATTCTCCTTCCTGATCTAGCTGAGTGTCTGAAACTGCTATCCTAATTTTTTTCTCTTGTATACAATCTTCTATCATTGCTAATGCATCTTCTTCGTAATCTATACGCTGTAGCAAAGCTGTATCGTTGCCACATCTCTTCATATAGTACATGAAGTCCCTCGCAGAATAACCCGTCTTAACTTTGAACTTCAATAAGTTGGCAAAGGTAATTTTAGCACGGTCAAGGTCCAATATGGCACGTTTCTGGTCCTGGGGTCCCCCCAAGAAATCAATAAGTACTTGCCACATATCTCCTGTTTTCTAGAATGTTTTCCTACAATTGTCAGGAAATAAATTAATTGATGCACAGGTATACTTGTTAAATGAATAAACAATGTACTCATACTCAAATAGCATATATGGATGTTCAAGCTACGTAGTGTATGCCAGTAGTTAGACCAATGACAGGAACAATGTGCCAAATGTCAAAATTTAGTGGATAGCATTTTGTCAATGTCAAAATTTGTTAGCTGCAAGTGCTATGTGCCTACAATAACTTATAAGGGGTGATAGGGATTCCTATAATGGCTATGTATACCATTGGCTACCATGAGAAAAGGAATGCAGGAATTAGAAGGAAAATCTTTCTCTTGCTTGGCTGGCCCCCTCCCTCCCTCTCAACCTAAACCACACCATAACACATCAAATGACACCTGTGTATTTCCATGATAGAAAGAAGTTGTTAATGCAACCATTGCATATGTGCAGACTTAAAGGATTTGTGGCTTATCCAGGAGAAAAAAAAAGATGCCAAACTGTTGCTAGAATGACAAAACAAACTGAGCCATTAAGTAAAATATACTAACACCTTGCACACACTCCTAAGTGCTGCAAGCAACCTGCTTCACCTATTATCCATTGCAAGGCTTCATCTCTGATGTTTTATATCTAACTGTGATTGTGCCACATTTTGTTTGACATACTATTATGTTCTTTATCTCTTTTGAAGTGGGCAAAATCATCATTGTATCAATATGGTTGGTGTTCTGAAAGGACTGATTATTTCATATGGCATGTTAAAACTTCTAGTAACATATTCAAATTTCCCCAATATCTAAATTCCTAAATTGTCACATAATTTTTGTAGGGACTGTAACATCATGTTTTCAATCACACATTACACAATAGCAAACATCCAATTCCTCATCCACACTGTTAATTAACTGACCAATTAATTAACAGAAATTCTAGTAGTTCAATTAATTAACATAAATTCTAGTAATAGAATTCAATTACCTGGGTTCGTCATCTTTTTGCTTCTCGGGTCCATCTTGTCAACGATGAGGTGTGTCTATGACACCGTCAGGGCTGGGGCTGGACCGCGTGGAGAACCTCCTGCTGGACGGAGGAGATGGCGATCTCATGGAGGGAGGAGGCGGCAACCACTTGGACGGAGGAGACGGCGACCTCCTGCTAGGCGACCTCCGTGGAGGACGAGGCGACGGCGACCTCCTGGTAGGTGGCCTCCGCAGAGGCGGAGGCGACGGCGACCTCCTGGTAGGCGTCCTCCGCAGAGGCTGTAGCGACGGCGACCTCCTGGTAGGCGGCCTCCGCGGAGGCTGCAGCGACGGCGACCTACCGGTAGTAGATGACGACGGCGCGCGTGCGGTCTTCTCCATTGCGCCTCGGAGTGGAGAAGATGCGTACCGCTAGGTTGGGGGCGGCGGCTCCTCTTCTACCGTGATGCAGATTAGATTAGGATAGGAATATAAACCGCTCTGTATTAGGGAGGGAGGGAGAGTAATTAGCAGCCGGTGTTTTTTCGCGGGACGAGGGCGCGCGCTACCGAAAGTTTTCGCGGATTCAATTTTGAGCACCAGGTTTCGCACAATAACAAAAAAAAGTAATAAATAAAAGACTATTCCTGATGTGAAATAAATAAAGAGAAAATATAGAAAATTGTAAAAAGGTTTTAAAATAGTTTTAATAACTATAATATATAACTAGATATATGCCCGTGCGATGCACGGTGTAAAAATAATTAACAAATAAACTAATCTAATTACATGATTCATTTTTGTATTTGTGTGATTTATTTTGTACTTTTTCTAATAGTTGTGCGATTTATTTTTTTTACATTTTATAATTTTAAGATAATTACATCATATTTAGAAAAATAATAAAATGATAGTACATGATTTTGTATTGGAACAATAAACCTTTTTCGAATTCATTTAGGCATTTTTTCTCTTTGTATCATTGTTCGTGGTGGGGCGCCCTCGGCTGCAAGTGTCGTCACAGTGGTATTCGTCGCTATATTTGAATTCCACGATGAGAACCTAGCTCACTCCAAGTCTTGGTGTGTCGGTAGCGGCAACATCCAGGGCTGGGGATGAAGCAACGGTAACAGGGCACCAACATAGTCTTGCTGCCGAGTCGACTAGGGGTGCTTGTCGCCAGGGGCGAATCTAGGATAGGAATCAAGGGGGGCTAAATAGTGAAGATTTTGGGTTAAAGCTAAAGATCAATGGTGATTTGAGGCTAAACAATGGTTATTTACTGGAGAAATGAGGATCAAAGGGGTGGCTACAGCCCCCCTAGCTGGACATGATCGGTATGACGCCCATGTTGTGAGATCTCGAAGGATGCATCAAGTTCACTACACGATCGAAAACTCGGTGACATATGACAATTAGGTACTAGCTGACATGATCGGAAACTTGGTGACACATGACGTGGTAGTACATGAGATGAGTCTACATATTAGGTTGTTGGAAATGACAGGGCAAGTAAATGGATGACGACAACAATATATAGTAACCACGATAGAAATTGTTTTCAAAATTTTATAAATGTTGTTGGAATGTTGAATTTAAAAAGATAAACATAAATTGTTAAAAAAACAAGTTGAATTTGAAAAGTTAAACCAAACTACAAGCTGATGACATGACCGGACGCTGTGTTCCACACGACCAGACGCGCCGGTCACAACACTACAAGCTGAAACAGTACCGCTGCAGAAATTAGCCGTTTGAACTGACCGGACGTGCCTGTGCGTCCGTTCGTTCCATAGGCTGGCGTCCGACCGAAGGCAGGAGAAGGACAGCACGACACCGGACTCCTCCGAGCATCCGGTCATCTACACCAGATGCGTCAGATGGCTCCAGGTGCTCTCTGTTCTCTTTCTGGAGGAGACCGGACGCTACAGAAGCGTCAGGAGAACCACATTGGTGCGTCCGGTCAGGGAAGTTCGAAGTGCACTAAATTTCTAACTGACTGACATCGGGGCCCGCATCTAAATTTCTTCCTCCCGTCCGTTCGCTGCGCAACCGCTCCGCTGATTTCCTAACCCTAACGTCGCCGCGCACGCAGCGCCTAGCGCCGTCGTGCCCGCCTGCATCACGCGCCACCACCCTAGCCCGCGCGCGCGTCCTCGCCCATCCTCGCCGCGCGCCGCACTGGTCCACTCCACCGCGCGCACGCACTCACCTCGCCGCGCCTGCACGCAACCACGCCGCCGTCGGAGTTCTCATCATGGCCGTCATCTTCCTCCTCTCCGGCGACTCCGCTCAGTTAGAAAAGGTTGTTTATGCTATGCCTCACACATTTCAGTCTTTCTTGTCTGTCCTTGTGTACTGACAGCCTGTTGGATCTCATTGGAGTGACTGATGCTTTCCTACTCTAATCTGTTTGATTCACCCATAATGCCCAATTTTAGTTGTGGCTGACTTATTTAGACTTATTAATTGAATTGACCGATTTGCCTAAATTGGTTTGTAACGCTAGAGCTCCAAAACCATGAAGTTCCCAACTCGTTATGTCCAGGTTTAGAAAACTGCATTACGTCTGTAATTCTATCAGTTAATATTCAGTATATGACACTTGATTCTTAATGTGCGTATACACACTTTTTTCTAATGCATGTCATTTTGACTTTTTTAGGACGATCAACAAGCTGAATTGAATCTTCTTTCAGTGCAGTATTTCTTGTCATAGACAATTGCAGCAGTTGGTCTTGCAGTAATTGTTAGTGACAGGGGGAGTATGTGTGGCAGTTGACTCACTGGTGGGTTTCTATTGGCAGTTGATCTTGTGTAGCAGATTTCTTGCTTGATCATCAGCTATGGCGTGAACAAAGAACCTTGGGGGGTCCCGGTGATGACAGGCGTCCCCCCCAGCCACCTCAGGACAAGGGGAAGCGGACGATGATGACCAAGGTTACCACCAAGAATAAGAAGCGGTCGCGTTCTGATATTGAGGCCGAGACGGCCATGGCAGTAGCACAGGCCGCTGAGAGAGCTAAGCAGGGTGGCCATGGTAGCAGTCTCCGTATTGGAGAGAGTTTGTCACCTGCACAGAGACAGGGTCTAGAGCGAGTTGACAGTTTTCACCGTAGCCCTTGCGGCCCAGATGATAGCCCACAGAGAGAGTCCGAGGAGCAGGAGGCAGAGCAGGAGGAGACAGCCAAGCCAGCAGAGCCCCGACGACGTCGCTTGACTCGCACTCGCACTGAGGTGCAGCAGAGGCCTGACGCTCAGAGACGTGGTTCCTGGGCCCCTCCTAGACACCGTGGACCACCACCAGTGCAGCGCCTTGACCTAAGAGCCGCCACTGCTCATCAGGTTCAGCAGCTCTGCTTCATCGAGTTTGAGCAGTGGTTCCCGCCTCGGAGGAATGAGCGAGCTTCACAGGGTTTCTACACAGTTCTTCAGGAGGACTTCTACACTGCCTTTGCTCTCAGTGGGGTTGCTTTGAGATCTCACAGAGTGTGTCATATTAGGGACATAGTTGCAGCTGTAGGCAAGCAGATTCGTCCCTACCTCACCTACTTACCTGGGTTGGCTGACCTTATGGGACGGAGTGGCAGTTACATTGCAGAGTGGGTCAGACAGTTATATGCTTCTTTGTGGATTGACCCTGGTCACAAGTTCATTCACTTTGCTGTGGGAGGCCATGACCACCGCCTTTATGGTAACCGTGCTCGGGAGATTCTGATGGTTCTAGATGACTCGATCAAGCTTCACCAAGTTTGCTACGGTCAGACAGCACCACCGAGACGCCCTCACGGCGGAGCAGTGCCACCGACAGGTCTTGTCCACCCCTGTTTCAGAGATCCATTTGGCGAGGGCTCGAGACGCATACCAGGTGCACTTACTCCAGTGGCTCGAGTCCTCGATGCACTTATGAGGAGGACACTACTTTCGAGGGGTGGCTACCATGAGGGACTCACTCGCTTTCAGCTCTGGCTTATTCACCACCTGATCTCTCAGACACCGTTTGACATTTGGGATCTGATGCTCTGTGAGATG